GAACCTACGACCACGTCGCATCCTAGATTGGCGTCTTTGGAAAGGTTCCACTGTTGACACGAAGGGGATTGCAACGCTTGCTCGCTTGTTATTATCTGTCTTTATCACTAATTAACCTCGGCCCCTTTACATCCTGCACTATCGACTGGGATGCTCAGTTGTTAGTATGAAAGACGTTGTAGACTTATTGGCTCTCGCCTCCTATCCGTTTCTATCAGTCTCTAACAGTCTTCCGAAGTGCCAAAACTCTGCCGTCATTAGGAAATAGGTAACGGTTACTGTGGCTATCGCCTTTCAAGGCTAATTATCCATTTATCCAGGCTGGCCTGGCCGGCCACCTAGTCATTTAAGCAAATGACCAAATGTCAGTGGAGCATAAACGGCTACTGTGTTAGGATTTCGCAGAGCAACTACTGCGTTGTTTTGTTTCTCGTCTGCAGATGCATTTTGTGGGAGACAACGCGAGAAAATCTCCGAATCAAAACAGAAAATTCCCGTTATCGATTTTTCTGATGGAAGCGTCGAAGACATAGGACACGGGATCGTGTTGGACTGCTCATTGGCTCCGGTCCCGACGATGATTCCGAGGTGTCTAGAGCGAACGACGTCCGCAAATTGTATTCGATTCCCCACAGATTTCGGTGTAGGGGTCGTATTGGCCCGGCATTCACGTTTTTAGTCGATGCCATCTCTCGAGATGGACAGCGTCTCATCGAGGACTTCATGGTCGTGCCAGAGGAGGCGGCCATGAACCGTAGAAAACAGCACCTTATTCGTTTTTTGGTGCATCTGACGCGGAACAGCTACGCTTCACCAAACCTGCTCTGTTAGGGCAGAGCTACTTAGTCAGTACGTAGTTGGCGATCTTGTTCGTTATGGTGTCCATGAACAGGTTCCTGTGTGTTCGGCTGCGGATGCGGATTCCATCGAGGGTACGGCAACCAGGCGTTGGGTTTTTGAGTTTACGAGTTTACGAGTTTTTTGAGTTTTTGAGATTTACGCCTAAAAAATCAATCTCAGACTTGTCAATTAAAAAATCTTGGAGTGGCTACCGGTACACAGAAAATGATGGCGGATCCGAGACATCCCTGCGATATTCAGTTGCACACATAAATAATGTTAAAGGTCACGGCCAATGTACATACATACATGCCACTGATTTAACCTTAATAGACGCTTTTGGCATCAGTCGTAGGGGTGAATGAGATGCGGAGGGATGCATTGTGCGGTGCAGTGGCGCTGGTACCGAGTATGTCTGGGGACCGAATACGACTAGGTAGTCGTCCACCTCTACCTCTCTGGCTCATTGCTTTGGCCCTGGTGCAATATGGAGGCGTTTTATAGATAGGAGCACAAAAAGCAAAAACGCCATGGCTTCAGGAATCTGAACCATCAACCCAGCCTAGCCGTCCCAACTCGAAGTCCACATCGCTATCCACCACACCATCCGTCACTGCCAGCAGGTTACCCGTGGAGACCCCATATGAAAATTCTCCGCACTTTTTACCATGTGGGTCCCTTTTTGGCTACCGTTCACGTTATTTTCAATGCGCAGTCCACTGGCCCTCCTACTGTGCGGATAGCCGACGGCATGAGCGAAACAAACGACGCATAGTGGGTTAATACGGCAATTTCTGACGAGATCATTTTCGCTCCTTTTTTGGCATTCGGAAGGCCATTTAGCGGAAATGGACCATAGTTCTACACTCAGTGCTCATGCCCCTACACCATGCAAAAAAACATTTTCAGAAAACGAAGATAGACCTTCCCTGTCAGTGCTTATCGCTGTACTCTGTAATTCCTAGGAGTAGTGCCTTTCGAGTGAACATTGTGAAACTCACCATTAAGAAATAGCCAGGGTAGAGAAGTTTTGCGGTGAAGTGAAATCAAAATAAGAAGCAATCGATAATTTGAGAAGTCCGAATGACAATAGCAGTAGCAACCCAGTCAAGTTGGAAATGTACCTCCTATTTGGGTTTTTATTATCAGACATATGAAAGTATAATAGCAGCAGTTAATGGCTCCACAACACACACAGTGTACTGTTTCCCACGCATTGAAAAGGACAGTTCGGCCACAGATATTGTAAGAGGTTGAACATGAGAGGTGCGAGCTCAACAAGGTGTGGAACTTAGATAATACTCTCAGCGGTTTCAAACCAAGGCGCCTTATTCTACATATGAGAGGTCTCATTCCATGGTTCATTTTGATTTTTTTCTATCATGATAGCTGAACACTTACAGAAATTAAAAAAGATAACTGGGTGTCTGGACATTGTTGGTGTCGAGTTTTCGATGTCAGGAAAATTCGATCAACCGAACTTCGAAGAACTCGACTTGACCAACTTGACGGAGATCGATTATGTTGCGGCACTTTGTGGTATGTTGTTTCTACGATTTTTTTGTCCAGCCTCCGGCATTTTTAGAGCATTTCGGGACCTCTGTTAGGACTGGAGGGTTGTCAGAATCCGCTCGATCTCCAGCTCCAGATTGAAGCTTTACGGAATCAGATTTCGTAAGTTAGATGGACTGTTGAGTAAACCCACTATCTACATACTCCCCATACCGATTGGAGGCTGTGAAGTGCTAGTTTTATCCGGAAATCATAGGAAAATAATGATTTATGTCCTCAATTGGTTTCGTAATACTTTCGTTATTGGAATGTAAAAATTACCAGTTTACACGGTAATTTGCTCTCACTTTTGTTTTCAACTGATCTTTACTTTGGAGGAAGCAGTGATCGTTCTACAGCATATTGCATGTCTATATTCTAAGATTTTTTTTAGTCTGTGAATTACTTTTACCGAAGTGATCCACTAGCGGAAGATATGTGTTTTTGAAAGATTACATTTTTGCAGTTTACTTAACATTGAGAGCTTCATGAAATCTATGAGATAGCTCGAAGGCCATTAGCGAGCAAAGCATGGTGCTATAGCCAACCAACTCACAATTACTCCGACACGATCACCAATCCACCCTGGGTTGACCCGCTATTTAGATTAATATGGGAGGGGAAGGCGATACTTCTCCCTGAATTCCAATACTAAGCAGCAGTGGTCCCTAGACGGCTATGGCACTGGGGATTCTAACCTTCCCATTCATAGAGCGCAATCGGGTTCGGTGAGTGTGGCGCAAATTTCAGTAGAAGTGCCTATATCCTCCTATTCAACTAGAACCAAGCTAGACGTAGCTTTAAAGCGGTTCGTAGGGCAGACTTAGGAGCCTAGATTTACTTGGATCAGTTTATCAGTTGCCATATCTTCAAAATGCACGCACATAAGTTGAACGTGTAGCTGATTGCTTATCACGCATTATTTCAGAGAACGTTTTTGCTTTGAATATTACGAAGAACAAGTATTTGCGACGTATCGACTTCAACGAAAACTTGATCTTGAACGGGGTATGCTTGAATTCTCAACGTTCAGCCTAAAAAGGCCCTGTTTAAAAATCAGCGCGAAAATCGTAGCAGACCAATGGAGTAAGAACAGTAGAAAACACAAATCTCTTCTTTCTTTCTTTTGTGGTGTGCTGCAGATGAATTGAAACTCAATTAGCCTCGGCAATATGAATTGTTTGCATGTTAAAGTTGTTTTCATAGGGGTAATTTGATAGGCGAAAATCTGGAATGAAAATTATTCTCCATTCTGATTCGTCGCGGTTGAATAGTCAGTATTAAAGAAAAGGTATTATTAGGTTGAATACGTAGAATTATCCGGTTTTATTCAGTTTTCCGTTTATGTCTTATTCTTACTTGGCAGTCATATGCAACAGTAGCTCGAAATCGACGATCTAATGCATGAATTGGTTAATGTTCTACAGAATTGGATACGTTTCGGCTCAGTTACCTGGAATATCTCAAAATTAGAAACTACAATGGTCGAGTTAATTCAGAGTTATGTAGTTTTGTAACATGAAGGAAACTTTGGCTTTGAGAAGAGTTGATCATCGAAAGAAAGGGTTACCATAGAGCCAGTACATTCTTTATCTTGTCTAGGGACAGCATCACTTCTACTAATTCCGCAGTGCACCTTCGCTATGGGCTCTTACTTTTTACTTGCATTCCCAGGAAAAAAATGAAATTTCATGAGAATTAGCTATCATTTTTGCAGGCCTACTTCATCCGTTTGAACGCTGAGGAAATGGAAATCTACTCTGGCGGGAAACCGAACAGCACTATCCTATGGAACGATCCAGCAGGTTCAACTTTTTATGGTTTTCTTCCCTTTTTACTTGGAAAAGCCTTTCTCCCTGAGCGCTAGAAATTGCAGTTGGCATAGAAGTTTCGAATTCTCCCTATCGATTGCCTACCGCCATAGGTTCCTCCTATTCCTGTAGTATGTTGAGTTCCTGCAGCTCTTACCAGGGAAGGGTAGTCTACTTACCGTGGGACTTTGAATGGAGACTCAGATAAATCGATAGGGTTTCGAATGCTGTTTATGAAAATGGAAATTAAAAATGCGAAATGGTTTTCCTCGAAAGGTTATAGGGGCTCGAAGTTTGCTCGGTAGTAGTAAAAATTGAATAAGCGAACTCGTCGCGTCAATATCATCCGCCTGCGTGACCTAGTGGTAGCGGTCTCGCTTCATAGGCGTAGGAGGTGGGTTTGCTCCCCGCCATCATTGGCATTTTTGCAAAGTATTTTTTCATTTCAATGAAGGCTCTCTTAATCTTTTCTGTCGTTGTTCAAGTGAACGCCTTTATTCTGCCTTTATTTCCTCTCGCATATATCCAGAAAAAGTGGTTCTGCACGTCAATTGTATGACTCTGCTTTATTTCAAACTTCAGAGAGCATTTGACGAAAGGTACTAGGGATGTGTAAGATGTCTGCAAGAGATTCAAGATTGACGGAAAAACTTTGAGAAAATGCGTGAGACACATATTTTGTTCACAAAGTGCGCACCTTGTACATGCTGATTCTGCATCCGTGACAAGCAGCCATTGACTGCGGCCGGCCGGCGGACTATTAGAGCAGTGCGAGGCAGTGCTAGGGAAGAGGAGGGAGGCAGACGGTCGGTCAGCCCCTTCGATGGGCTGTAAGCAAAGAGAGACAAGATCAAAAACCCTTTGTTCACGCTCCTGGTTAATTGGTTTTTGATCTTGTTCTTCGTTCTTCTTTATTTTCAGCCCCTCGACCAACCGTCTGCCTCCCTCGTCCCCCCTAGCACTGCCTCACCTGGCATGCCAGCCGGCCGGGCGGCCGGCGGACTATGAAAGCAGCCGATCGTCTGAAGACTGAACAAAAACTCGGCTGGTGTGACGCATGAACCTTGTGTTTATAAACATACCCAACCTCGTACCAGGAACATTTCAAAAAATTGGAAAAACATGGCCACAAAACACTTATATGTACTTTTGATAGAAACTTAAATATATTATCTCTCTTTGTCATATCAAAGTCTGCAGCGCACAAAATAGCTCTAGTCCTAATCCTCTTCATAACGTTCTCCATAGGACCACAGAAAAAGACGTCCAATGGCTGAACCATTGACGTAGCACCGGCAGAGTATTTGTTCAGTTTTGAGACGATTGACTGTTTTGTCACGGATGCAGGAAATCAGCATGTATAAGGTGTGCACTTTGTGAACAACATATGTGTCTCACGCATTTTCTCAAAGTTTTTCCGTCAATCTTGAGTTTCTTGCAGGCATTTTACACATCCCTAGTACCTTTCTGTCAACTGCTCTTTGAAGTTTGAAGTAAAACAGAGTCATACAATTGACGTGCAGAACTACTTTCCCTTGATATGGGCGAAGAGAGAAAATAAAGGCTGAAAAAGGCGTTCACTTGAACAATGTCCGGAAAGATTAAGAGAGCCTTTAATGGAATGAAAAAAACACTTTGCAAAAATGCAGACGATAGCGGTGAGCAGACCCGCATCCCACGGCTATGAAGCGAAACCACTTCCACTAGGCCACGTAGGCAGTTGATATTGAAGCGACGAGTTACCTTATTCAATTGGTACTACTATCGAGCAAGTTTCGAGCTCCCATAACTTCTTGAGGAAAACCATTTCGCATTTTTAATTTCCATTTTCATCAACAGCATTCGAAACCCTATCGATTCATCTGGGCTTCCATTCAAAGTCCCACGGTGATTAGACTACCCTTCTTTGGCCAGTATATCTCGAAAAACTAAAAAAAGAAAAAGTTCAATTGGCATCGACTGTAAGGACTTGATTAATTGTGTTATTGTGCCATGTGTTGTTATTGTGAAGTGAACTCGTCTGTCGAGTTACAGTCACTGAGATTCGTTTGAGCATTTTTGAGAACTCATTAAGGGAATAATTTTGGCGGCCTTCATCTCTCTTCTATTCAGCATTCGTCAGAGACTAGACCGCCCATTATATGAGACAAAGAGAGAGGATCGGCTTATTTCACTGAGGCAGAAAGTATGGAAAACTCGCTTAGCTTGCTCGACTCGCTCATTTTGCTCTCATTTTGTAATAAGCTTGGAAGCATAGCGTACCCTGACCATTGCTTGTAGTAGGCTTGGAATGCATAGCGTACCTTGGCCATTGCTTTTTAAATTTCAGCGCGTGCACTTTCGTGGACCGTTTTGAGAACATGTGCGGGGATGGGCTTTTTTACCTTTATTCACCTCGAATGCTTGCTTTAATGGCTTCAACGAGAACGAAGCCTCAAAAGATCGATGGGATGTGAGTATGGAGATTGACGCGTTTCAAATGATCGAAAAATTCAGCGAACTTCTGCACATCTAACTTCTAACATTTAAACTTGATTTAATTGCCAAAATTTCATTTACTCCCACCGCGCCCGCAGTCATTCAGGTACAGGAAATGATTTTCTTTTCATAGTTCGAAGCAGGTAAGGGTGATTTTTTGATGTGCAGAAAGCACAGAAAAAGCAATGTTTGTAGAACAAAATAAGGATGACCCGTTGCTCGTACTCAGTGGTTTGCAGGAATATTCACTGCTTTGTTCGCGTTGAAATCTCTACGTAAGTGTAGCCAGTTAGAGGAGAATCTAATTTTCGAAAGAGTACAGAGTGCGCCATAAATATGGTAACAACTTTTCTTTCGACTGTTTCGACGTCCTAAATTTTCTTGTTTGGAGGGTTTCTCCAAATCTTCACCTTCCCTTATGTTCATGATATACCCTAGACTACATATCTACTTTGGTGCTCTCAATTCGTCAGATTTCGAAAAACGGTGGAGCCTCGCAGACATCCACTAGCCGCTCCGTCTTAGCGCGCATTTGGTGAGTCCCTTTCCATAATCGCTCCTCGTTTCAACATTTTCCCCACTGACAGGCTCTGAAATTCCGATGCGTAGGCAGGTCGGGACAAACCTTAAGACGGTCGTCTCGCCTCACAAACAACCCTTTTTCCGAATAGAATCAACTGGGAAGGAGTACGCTGCAACATCTGCTGAAATATGAGAAAAATGGCTGCTGATTTGTTTGAATGTTCTACTCCGATGAGAAGAGTCTACCTTTGGTAAATACAACTGTATCCATATATGATTCGAAAGTCCTATAAGTTTCTTGACGAAAAGAAGTTGGAGAGAAAAGACAGATGTCGCGTGCTACTTGCGCGCGGCACGCGCTTGGACGAACCTTTTCTTGACTAAAGGGTTTTCAGCATGGAAGGAATGTTGAGACTCCAAAGTATAAATATATTTCACATTTTGAGTACTGAAGCCGCTGAGAAGAGTCATATCGCCTCTCATAGCCATTTTCGCTTTGTGATGATAGCTATTGCTAGAAACTCTACCATCAGAACGATATCGCCTATTTTGATCGGAAAGAGCACAAAATTTAATCCAAAAAGTCTTTAAGAAGGGTCCTTCTGAAAGGACACAGCTGAGGGTCAACGATTTCTTCGGGGATGCGATTTGAAAACTACTGCGCACCTGCTCACGAACGGGAAAACATAAGATTGGTGCTGAGAGAGTATTCGCAATTTTATCCCAGCTTCCAATCTTTCTACGAATTTTCCGGACCACAAAGTGATTGTGGTTGTGATTGCTGGATATAGTTCATACTGAAGAGGAAAGCCTGCGCTTCATAACGCACCACTGTTGCTTCTCCTAAGATACCATTGAAAAAAATCGCGGGCTGGAGTCTCTCAAGAAACTCTGCGGGCCGCCGTCGATCAGCAGCCGAAGCATCTTTGAGCTATAATTAGAACGGGAGACGGTTAAATATGATGACCGTGTGTTCATTTTGTAGATGTGATGCATAGTAAATAACTCACAGAAATTCACCACATAACAACATGAACTGGGGTTTTTGTAGCCCAATTCTTTTGTTACCATATTTATGGCGCACCCTGTATTCACATCTACTCCCATTGTGCGTTACTCCATCCGAGCAACCGTACTGTAAGCAAATACTCCTCAATAAAATGGTATAGATCCGCTCCAATAGGTGAGCAGGAGAAGAAGAAGAAAAAACTCTTTGTGAAGGTATTGCACAACCGGGTGCTCATAAGTTATCGCTAGCCCCGAATGTTTTGCAAAAATTATTTCATCAAACGTGCTAGACAATACAGTTGTGCAGTTGATCAATCTCTCTCTACAACCAGTACCATCAAAATTTATTTAGGTTTGGCCAAAATTCGAAAACTTTTAGTAAAATTACACGAACAGCACTTTTTATGCCATTTCAACCTGAGAAGTACGATTATGGTAGGTTGTAGCGTCAACAATGTCGCGAATGTCGAATTATCGCGGAACTTGATATTTGAACTGACTGATCTCACTCGAGATATTTACATAATGCTAGAGATTAATTTCACTTCTAACTTCTTAACTTCCGTTCAAAATTTACTTTGCTTTGCAGATTGCTTGCCCGAGGATCCTACGGAAAAGTTGAGAAATTGTACGGGTTTAATCGGACCCGTCCATTTGGGAAGCCTATCACCAACACTATACAATCTACTTATTAATAAGACAATTAAGAGAATTCACGGGCAATTCATTATGATGTCGACCGACATTACCGATCTCGAAGCTTATGGAAACCTCACAATTATTGCACACAACAGTGAGTGTCTCAAAATTGTGCTTACTCCAAATTACTTCATACGGCTACTCTTATGTACGCAACCTGCAGTAACCTAGAAGGAAGAGGACAAAGACAAACTTTATCAAATTTTCGGCACGAGACCACTTGATCGATCAGAGTTTCATTGAGTTTTACTTTTTCTGGAGACTGCGCGAAAACTCCGTTATTTCAGAAGACGCGGTGATAATTGAGAATAATAAGAACCTCATAGATATCAGTGCCCTGACAAAAATGAACATCACATGGCCGGTAAACTTTCCGAAGGAGGCCTTGCCGGAATGGAAACCAGTTGTAGTGAGGAACAATGGAAAAATATGTGTCAAGGCGCGTCGCGAGGAAGAAGTTCTTCAAAAAAAAGTTTCTACCCAAATTCAGTTCTCCGATTATTGCAGTAAGTTGCAAGAATCTCTCCTTTGTGTTATACTTTCGCTACCATACTCTCTCTCATTTATAAAGCAGAAACTTGGTATTTCGCTTTGTCGGTTTGTGTGTCTGTCCGTCCGAGAAATTTATGATTACGATAAAGCGTTAGCGTTGTGATATAGCGTTATGGAAAACCTAGCTCTATTCTACATTCCTCTACATTTGTTCACCTATGGGGGGGGNGGGGATTTATTAACTGCTCTGAAAAAGTGGAAAATGGGAGTGGGCGACCCAATTTACTCTGAAACGTTTATTGAATGGGTTCACTCACAGCTTGCGGAATGGGAGATGTAGTCGAAGAAAGTCGGTGAAATGACAGCTCACTCATTCTATATTTTCCACTGCAACAAATCAAACATAGCTGTATCCTTCATTTATTCTAAGTATTTCACTATGCGTTCTTCAACAAGGCTTATCATTTCCTTCTCAATACCTCTCCTCATCAGTCTTTGAAGATTGTCGTTTAGTCATGAAAGGCGACAAAAAGGTTACTATCGCAAAAGCATCGTATACTTGTAGAACGCCTCGCTCTTTTGAAATCTATCAGAAAAACCAATTTTTGAGGGAAGCGGCGCCTCCTGGCAACTAATTATTGAACAGTTTAGAGTGGATTGTAAGAGATTACTGGCTGATCTGTTGCAATGGAAAATAGCGATTGAGTCGGTTGCCGAGATTTTCTTGCTCTTCCTTCTTTCTAATTCTTAATGCTCTCTACCACAGGCTCCGCGAGAAGAAAATTTCGTTAACATCGTATCTGTTCTTCGAATGATTTCTGGCACCTTGTAAGGCCGATAAATAATTTCCGGATGGCGTATAACAGTATTCGGAATCAATGAAGGATAAATAAAGGATAAAGTTTTTGGCGTTAATCAATCCCGTCTGAGGGATGCGCCCCCTCGCTCGACTTCCATTCAGAATCGTAGTGGCGTAATGATTGTGTATGTGGCCTATACAATGACTTGCGGTAGCCAGCCGATGTACAAGTC